GCAGGGCAGAGCTGGTCCCTCCTGGCTGCTGCCAGGAACGTTCCTCGTGCCGGGAACGTTCCTCGTGCCGTGTTTCTTCCTTAAAAGCATTGCACTTAACTGCTGGGGATGCTGGACCAACCCCCCTGGGGCCACTAGTTGCTATTGCTCCCTACGTGCTCAGCACTTGAAGGTATAAAAATACATTATCATTAAATCCAGAAGAGTCCCAGGCCAGTGCTATGCAAAGCAGCCTCAGAAGAGCATTGTGGGTTTACACAATGCAGCAACTGCCACTTAACTAAACTGAATTAAAATAATTGGATTTTTCTGAGTGAGTTTTGTGGTTGCTGATGGCAGGAATTAGGGGCTAAGTGAAGGCGCTGTCTTTGTGAGTACCTCCTTGTTGCACCTGCAGAGCACGGAGACTCTCTGGGGCTATAAAAGGTGGGTGGAGAAGTGTCAGGTGGCTTGACCACACCAGAGACCAGGCTGAGCAGAACCTGGGAGGGCAGGTGGGGTGTTAGTGGTTGAGTCTGCTCTAACAGGTGTTGAAATGGTGGGATTTGTAGGTGGTTCTGGGCTTACCTGGTAGTGGATCAAAATGATGTGCCTAAAGCAACCCAGAACCCTGAGGAAGCTTCCACCTGAGCCTGCTTGGCTTCAGGTGAAAGTTCTGTTTTCCTGAATGCTCTTGCCAGGAACCCAGGTATAGCGTATCTCTTTATATAGATATGTATATATGTGTGTGTGTGAGTGAGGGACTGACTGACTATGAGGTTTGTGCTGCTATTTGCCTTAACTCTGTTCTTTATCCCTAGTCTCCTGCCATGGGAGAAGCTCTGTCTCTTCCAGAATTGTGTTATTTTTCCATTAGAAAAATCTTACTTAGCCACCAGATTTGTCCATTAATAGCTTTATTTAAAGCCAAACTTTATTATCCTCCAATTTCTCCCTGTGGTTAAGAGGTATGGTGTTAACTCTTCCTAATGCATATATCCAGAAAGGTATTAATACTGACTACTTTGTTATAAATGATTCAAACATCTCTATGCAAGTTAAGTGTTCAGCACCTTGTTTAACAGCCTCTTTATTAGGGAGAAGGAATCCTGTGTCAAATGTTTGTGTTGATGCCTTCAGTTCAGATGAAATCTTGTGGCCAATGTGAGTCTGTAGGAGCCTCCTGTCAATCAGAATTCTCCTCGTTTGCAGTTGGGGATGAATACTGTCAAAACACTTATTTGGGATCATTGCAGGGCCCTCGTGCTAATTCATGGTGAGTGGTGCAAAAGACACAATGGCTGGGTTGATCTCCCAGCTTCCAACTGCTTTGCACTTAACTACTTGCTTGCTTTACTGCTGCTTTCCCTGTTTTTTTTCCAACCATGATTCAGGTTGGAAGGTTTCTTCTGCAGGTTCCTTAGAGTCCTAGTGTCTGCAGTTCCCTCTTCCTTCTGAGCAAGGGCTTACAAACCAAATGGCCAAGTTGGCTGCTGTGGCTATAACTATGCAGTTAAAACTTGCAAGCATCCTTGAGGAATATCACTTGCAACCATCTATGCAGGCAGTTGTAATTGTGAGGCTTAATTCATGCTTGTTAGGTCATCTGAGTTGCTCGAGAACAGCAGCAAAGTGCTACCAGTTATCAAAGCTGCTCGTAGTGATGAAGATGCCACCGTTTGTCTTCTGCTTGATTCCTCTCTGTCCCTCTAGGATCTGCCCCGGAGGGCACCAGCTCGCATCAGGAACAAAACTGGAGCTGTGTGTTGGGATCCCCCTGGAGATTACATGCCATGCAAGGAGAACCCTGAGCAACTGAATTGGGGTTTAAAACAATATGATCAAGCTCCAGCTTGGCAGAGGAGCTATGGCTGGCTGCTCTGACATGTAGGTTATTTAACAGGGAATTTATGGGTCAAAAGCTTAAAAGCTTCACTGAGGCAAATCTAAGAAAGCACCACATTTCCAACTAATTAAGGAATGTCAGGAAAATATAACTTATTTCTCACCATCGCTCATGTCTACAGCAGAATTATCTCATTTTTTGATTTCTAATGACTTTCTCTCTCACATTAATCTGACCATGAATTATTTTTATATAACTTTTTGGCAGTGAAGCAAAGATTTTCCTTTTTTTTTTTCCCCCAAGTTGCAGCATCCTTGGGTAATTCTGCCTCACGCTTGAAGGGAGGCACAGAGCCCAGCTCAGGTTTCGTGAGCTGCCTCTGCTGTGGTGTGGAGCTGCCTTCCCCAGCAGACTTTGCCCCTGTGTCTTCCTTAGGACCTCAACTTGTCACTGTTCCCTGAGGCTTCCCATGTCCCTTCTGTCACAGTGTTGGTTAAACAGGGTCTGCTTAAAGAAAACAACAACAGCAATCCCTTCTCCCCAAGCATTTTCCTGCACTTTTCAGGGAAAGTCACCAGGTGCCTTTCACGGTTCTTC